TTTTAAACATCTTAAGCTAAAGCACTGCCCTGCCCTCCCCCAAGCAGTGACTATACTACCTCATAAATCTCTGTGGTCTGGGTCCCTTGTGATGCTTATTTCTCTGTCCCTGGGAGGCCATGTGGTTCTGCCATGTGTTGAAGAAAGAAAGCAGGCACTAGACCTGTGCATGTGTCACACGCTGAACCCGTTAGCATCCTTTACTTCATTTCTTTAATTTGGAAACATTAAATCTTAAGGATGCCTCACTACTATCAGTGTGCACACTCTTATTGCTCGCAGGGGAGACAGGGAACTGTGTTCTGTGATTTTTACCTTCTACCTGGATAGGACCAGTGCTTTTATAGAGCACTGAAGCCGTGGCTCAAAAGGTAGGCATGATTCATCCCTTGCCCAATTCATTCTCCCACCTCAGTTTACCCTAATACTGAGAATATATTAGACACCAGTTTCTAAAATAAAATAGTAAATTAGGAAAAAAATCTAGGAGATATTAAACATAAAATTTTTGTTACATCCTAAAATCTATATCTGGGTTAATTTATTAATATATCCACTCCGTTGCTTAGAAAAGCTTTAATGAAATAAAATGCAAAACATAACAAAAACTCTAATTCATCTGTTATGAACTTAATTATCCCCTATCCAAGTTCATTTGTTAAAGCTGTAATGTATAAAATGACAATATTTGGATATTGTTCATTTAAATGGATAGTTAAGATTAAATAAGATCACAAGGACAAGTTGCTAATCTAAATAAATAGGTTCCTCAAAAGAGCAGGAAAATGTCAGGAATGTCCCAATAGGCCTTGTAAAGACACATGCAATTAAGTGTTCATGGACACATCATAAGAAAAGGGACTCATAAAAAACACCAGCCAGCCCCTTAATTTGGGACTTCTTTGTTGATGGAGATTCCTGTCCTGCTCAGTCCTGCAGCTGTTCAGTCTCAAAGAAACACACAGAGGTATACATTAATTATAAACTGGTTGGCCTATTAGCTCAGGCTTCCTAACACTTACATTTTACAATAACACATAATTCCTGTCTGTGGTAGACATGTGGCTTGGTACCCTTTATCAGTGAGGCATTCTCATCTTGCTTCCTCTTGGTCTGGGTGACAACTGAGGACTGAGCCTTTACTCTTCCCAGAATTCTTCTGTTCTGGTCACCATGCCTATACTTCCCACTTGGCTACCGGCCAATCAGCACTTTATTAAACCAGTGCAACTTAAGAATCTTTACAGGGTACAAGACCATTGTCCCAACAGAACTCCCGTCTTTTTTTTTTTTGTTTGTTTCAAAACAAGAACTGTGGATCAAATCTCCTTTGTTTAGCTTTTTCCTGGTCTTTATCCACGAAAACTTGGAACGAACACTCTAAACAAAGTCAAACATCCAGAATCCATTGGGTGTGTGTGTGGGGGGGGGGGATGCAGGCATTGTTTTCTAGACTACTTTTGTACTGATAGGGGGAGCTGATAATCTTATGGGGACCTAAAGAAAATTTATAATTATGGTCAAGTCCTGACTGGAATATTCTGTGAGGCTTGATCATCTCAGCCAGCAGTTTTGAAGATGTTCTGGATACAGAACTCAGAAGAAACTACAACAGAGGTTCTCTGAAATGTTGGATCATTTGGGCCATCTGCTCCTATTGGAGATTTTTCAGGTGGGGGTCTTCCTTGATCAAACCTGATTTTTCTTAGCCCAGATTGAGTTCACAGCCTCACTTTTCCTGTAGAAACACAAACAATACATCTTCTCCAAAGTAACAGATCTTTTAACTTCAATTTTGAAATTAAGGAATTTTCAAAATATCTATGTTGGATTGATCCAGCATCTGATGCTCCTTCCTTAGCAGTCAAACAATTCAAAGACAACACAATAACATACAGTATCCAGATTCTCTGTGTATTTTCCATCTTTAAGTGGCTTTATTTTAAACTCCATTATTTTTAATATTTTTTTTGAGACATGGTTTCTCTGTTTACCTTTGTGTGTCCTGGAATTTGATTTGTAGACTAGGCTACTCTTGAACTCACAGAGATCTGCCTGCCTCTGCCTCCCAAGTGCTGGGATTAAAGTTGTGTCCTACCATATCCAACTTCTCTTTCTCTCTCTTTTTTTTTTTTTTGGTGGGGAGAGAAAAAAAACTAAAGAAATAATAAATGTAATATAAAAGAGTATAGACAGTCATAGATTAGAGGAGTAAAGATAATAAAAATACATATTAAACTTATAGAAAAAGTAATAGAGTAAAAAAATAAGCCACATAAAGATGGAAAATATACAGAGAATCTGGATACTGTATATTATTGTGCTGTCTTTGAATTGTTTGACTGCTAAGGAAGGAATAACAGCTGCTAAAAGACATTTGATTATAAATGCTTCTGGATTAACCCAACATATACATTTTAAATATGCCTTGACTTCAAAATTTATTCAAAAGTTATGTTACTTTGGAGTAGAGGTTTTCCTTTTGTTTCCACGGGAAATGAGAGGCTGTGGATTCATTCTGGGTTAAGAAAAATCAGGTTTGATCAAGGAATACCCCCTGAAAAATCTCCAATAGGGGCAGATAGCCCAGATGATCCAACATTTCAGAGGATTTATTGTCTCAAGAAATTCAAAGCAATCAAAATTCCAGTTGTCAAACCCCACAGATTATGGTATTTTTTGTGTTTTTACAAGTAGCATGCATTATATGTCTGCTAATTGACTTATTATTATTATTATTATAACCTTTGAAGGCAACATTTCTTTCAGCAAGTACCCCTTCCAGTTACCTTCTCCAGAAAGCAACAGCAAAAATCAACAATGTGTTGCTTTACTAGGAAATCATTCCTTCTGAAAACAGCATTTATTATTTGTATTGAAGATTTTTTTATTTATTCATTTGGTTATATAATGAATTAAACTATTACTTAGCCGGTAGTGGTGGCACACACCGGTAGGATTTGCTGAAGGAGGCAGAGGCAGGAGGATCACGAGTTTGAGGCCAGCCTGGGCTACACATTTTGCCGGGCAATGGTGGCGCATGCCTTTAATCCCAGCACTCGGGAGGCAGAGGCAGGTGGATCTCTGTGAGTTCGAGACCAGCCTGAACTACAGAGCTAGTTCCAGGACAGGCTCCAAAGCCACAGAGAAACCCTGTCTCGAAAAACCATTGGTTTTGTGGGAGCCTAGGCAGTTTGGATTGCTCTTTGGGCTGACCAGGGAGGGGGACTTGACTGGGGGAGGGGGAGGGAAAGGGGAGGCGGCAGTGGGGAAGAGACAGAAATCTTTAATTAATTAATAAAGAAATAAATAAATTAAAACAAAACAAAACAAAAAAAACTATTACTTAAATCTCAGATAGACATTCTGTAATTACTTGTCCCTTCAAATTTAAACATTTCATAATTCATGACTATCATCTTATTTTGTTATTGTCAAGGAATGATCTTCTTTTCCTTATCTTCAAACAAAAGGACCAGGATGAGAGAAGTTTCTACCAGATGAAGATGGTGGTACACTTACATTGTCAGAGATTATATGCTTATATTCTTTAGTAAGAGCTGAAGCTTTATGTACCATTTCTGTCACTTATCCACAACTGTTTAAATCTTCAGTGCTACCCTATGGAATCCAAAGAATCAACTAAAATCATTGGTTGGTAACCATAAATTGTCAGACCACTGGTCTACATGTTTCCTTTTTATTTTATATTATCCTTTGCTCCAGTTTTCAGTATTTATCATGTATCTTTATTAGAATATGTCACACTACACTTTCAAGAAAGACCTCCTACCTTGCCTTTGTCCATATAATAAAGAAAACTCATACTTTAAAGTTCAGTACAAGTGTCTTGTTTCTGTGAAACTTGAATTCTAATGCAAATCAATTAGTCTTCCTTTCTATTCTTTTTCTACAATATTCCAAATATTAACTTCAAATTTACAGTGCTGTATGATATGATAATTTCATGCAAATGCTACCCCCAAAACATGCAAATGAGTAACAATATCAATATATCTGATTAGGATATCATTGTGTATTAATTTGGGAGAAAGAAGGATGTGCTTTTCTCAACTCCTGGTTAACTTCACCGCCTCTGATCTCTTCTCTTTCTCCTCTTCCTCAGTTATAAAAGCTTTCCTTCTAAAATCATCTAAACTGACTATGAGTTATTAGAGTGACAAGGCGATGGAGCCTTGGAGTAAACTGTGTGAGTCAAAAGCCATTCATCCTCTACTATATACTTTTATATTATTCTGTTTTGTTTCATTTAATTTTATTTATGTGTCTTCCTTTGTATAAACAGACACACACACACACATAAACTCACACACAAAATCAGATTCTTTAAAGCTGAAGTTATAGGCCTGACCTTAGTACTGTAGGTACTAAACCTAGGTCATCTGAAAGAACACAAATAGTCTTAACTGATGAACTATCTTTCCAAGCACCATGCCATATAATCTGATGACAAATGTTACATACGTTCAGACATTTCCCTCACAACATTAGGAACTTTCCTCTTCCCATTTTATATGTTTTACCATATGATGATTGAAGAGAATATTATATAATTCTCACAAGCAATACACCTGCCAATGTGGTATAATTTCATTTAAAGGTAATCATTTTCAGACATCTTTTCCAACTATTTCACCTTCATTGTATGATGTTTTTGTTTCTTATGACAGGGACTAATTGCCTTGGAAAATTCTAAGATATACTCAATGTTTCTGACATTGTCGACCCCAAGATATTGCTTAGACTTATACAAGTCTTCTGAAATGAAATTTGCATATATCAGTTTAGAACCAAAAAAAATGTAGAATGTATATATTACATAAAGTGACATGACAGGAAAAGAGCTCAAGTCAAAGAGTGCTATAAATTAATAGAACCATCCTGTTATAAGCAAATAAATCCAACATTCATAATAATCAAAGACCTTCCATATCCTGCTTTTTCTCTTATAAATTTCAATTCCACTCTCTTTTGATTACCTCAACTGAAGAATCTCTCCATCACACATGCTTCTGAACATGAAGCATGACTGCTCCTTTACTCTTTCAGGCATATCCTCACCTGCAAAATAAAATAGAATTCCCCCAATAATTCACTGCCTTCACATCCTGACCTGAAACCAGTTTTTAGGACTGGTGCTCTAAAGCTTAACCCTGTATACCTACTTCACTCTAACAGAGCTTCTTAAATACCCCACTGCTGTAGTTTGTCTCCCAGCTTCATGTTGTCATGTATTGAAGCTGTTTCTCATGCTGAAAAGCTCTCTTATGCTTAGAGCTTGGCATTCCCACTTAGGCTACACCAAATGCCATCTCTGTGAGTTCTTTGTGTAGTTTATCTTAGTGCAGTGAACAGACTATGCTCACAACAGTCAGAAGACCTGTTCTTAGTTTTCTAAGCAGTGTGACTTCAGGCATTTACCTACATTTTCTATCCACCTCACCTCATTTACTACCCCTTCTCCTAAGTGCTTTCTTCATTGTCCTACATTGCCTTATTTTTTGAAGATTAAAAACTTCACTGTATACCATGCACCTGACCAATATTGACAATTTAAACCTGAGATTATTTAGACAACTATCAAATATCTTAAATAAAACCTAAAAACCTTAAAAAGAAATAAATTGAGAATTTTTCATTTAAATGTATTTCCTTTCTAATACATTATGGAAAGGTAAGCTTTCAGATACTTTAGAGAAAAATTATTAAGAGTTAATCTTAAAGTAGACATTTTAGTAAGTAAAAGCAACAGTATTTTTCATATGTAAGGACAAAAATCAAATAGCATCTTAAATTATCTGAAAAATATATTTTGACTATCCAAATATAACATTTAACAGTACAGAAAATAGCAACTGTTTTAATTAAAACACAATAATATCATTTTCTACCTTTCCTTTTTTCTCTCCAGCTCCTTCCATGATAATTCTTATTTCCCCTCAAAGTCATAATCTCTCTTCCTCTGATTATTGTTACACACACACACACACACACACACACACACACAAACTCACACACTGCTGAGTTTCTTTAGTGTTCTTGTATGTGTATGTCATTGGGTTTGACAATTTCTTATTGGGCTAGTCTACTATTTGTGCCATATATAGCTCAGGAACATAGCTTACATTAAATAATTGAGAGAAAGGTTGCAGGGAGAACTCTGGACAGTTTCTTCATTCTAGGACGGACAGCTCTGGGCTGTCTATGCCACAAATCAAGTGGGTTGACAATGACCTGCAACATTTCATATGTTACTGCAGTCTTTGAAGTCACAAGGTCTGACTGTACTTGAGGTCTCCCACATTTTAACTTCTGGAAAACAGAAATTTGGACTGAGAAAATTTTTAAAGTCTGTGTCTGTGTGAAATGTAAAGTTGCTTCTCTTCAAAGCTGAAAAGTGACTTGGTATCTCTGGAGGATTATGTGCATTGTGTGTGTAGAGATGCCTTTTCAACCTCTCAGTATAGTCTGGCTAACCTAAAAACACACTATAGAAGATTCCAAACTATCACCTCATCATGTATGCAAGCAAACTTTTGAGAAATTTTCTTAAAAGGCATGTGAGCAGCTCCCCAGAAGCCTCATGCCCAAAGGGGTGCCTCACCGCTCTGCAGGTGCCTTACCAACTTGTGCTTTTGTTTTCACGTGTCAAAGATGTGGGAAAGAATCTTGTACTTGAAAATGTTATAAATGAGTTGCTATGAAATAAATTCTGACCTAGGTGGAGGCAGATAAAACCACAAGGAGATATTTGAAACTCAGAATTCTTGAAAAGCTCTTACGTGTATAATAACCTCTTTCATATTTATGTTCATTCCTTGTCTGTCCTAACACAGAAGTCTTTTAACAGGTAAGTAAAATTAATTAATTAAGACCCCAGAACCTGGAACTATCATGAGGGAAGAAGTGCACTCTGAAGCTCCCCAGGAAAATTTTAGAACAGAAATTCTCCTGTCTTTGTTTAACTAGCATTCCACAAATACAGATCAAGCACTTTCTGCAAAGAAACTATAGATAGGACTTGGGAAATTCTTCCTGTCAGTCATCCTGTACCCCCAGAGAACACTTTAACCAGGTTGTCAACCTGTGAATGTGTGCAATTGCATACTGAAAAAAAAATTACAGAAGGTCTCTGAATGCTTAGCACTTTCCCTGCTAGAGGAGGCTGAAAAGGAACTTACATTCTTACTGTAGTCCATTCGCGTTAAAGAGCACACTCACTTCTTATGAGTTCCTAAACTATGTCTAATACTAGAAGCAACAAGATGGGATGAAAAAAACTTAACATCAGAGAAAACAGAGAAAGAAAAATAGAGTATGAAGTTGAAGGAACTCGAGATAAACTGGATACCAACAAGAAAGATAAAAAAAAAAAACCACCACCTGTCACACGTATCCAGCTAGTCTCACTGAAGTTTCAGTAGCCGGCATTTCATCTGTCATATGAAAACATTTTCAATACCGTCTACCAACACAGCACTAAATTCTGGACTACCATTAATGTCAACCCATTTATAATTTTGGCTTGCAGCACTACAAAAAGGCAGATGACAGCCTACTATTTCACACCTGCTGTTGAAATGAATAAAAATGACTGAAATCTTTAAAACCAAAGGAAAGTGGAAGGAAAAAATAAAGTGAAGAGCACTACACAGTAAAGCCAATGTAAGCTCCCTGCCTGCTTTGAGTTCTGAGGCTCAGGTTTCAAATAAGTTGTCTTCAATAGATCTGGAAATAACCATGGAAGATCCCACAAGTAGAACCCTAACCTACATGGGAAGACTTTGTTCTATTTTTGATTGTTGTGATTTATGCAACTCCTTGGAATTTTGTAGCTTCTTCCTGTCAACATGTCTGTCCTGAGCCCAAATGACTAGGATAAATACCTTTCTCAGTATTCCTACTAAACATTGCCTTATAAAAAATATTATGCATATTTATTTATCTGTGCTTATTTATTTGTTTATTTTGTGGTTATTTGTATGGTTATGTCCAAAGAGTGTAGGCAGCACAGTGAGAGTGAATAAGTGCTAGACTCTGATGGAATTACCCATTCTGCTGTTTTATTTAATTCGTCTAACCTCAAGCGCAATGAGAAATAGCTCTGATAATTAGTTGCTGTGGTTATGAATCTTTCAGTTTGTTTGTCCTGCCAAGTGTAGTGATAATGATGTCTGAGTCATGCATCTTTAAACGGGAGAAAGAAAAACTCTTCATTTACTACAATACCAAGATACTGTTTGCCTTCCTCATTTTCTTGTGGAGCACATCGTACTTTTATTATAACATCAGTATATGATTTGCCTTTTCCTTGTCTTGTGATTTCCACTGATTACACTGAGTACATGGAATGTGAAAATGCTGGAATCTAAGCAAATAATAGTTTCCGTTTTGATATTATCAAATAATTTCAGAAAAATCTCAAATTATTCATGAATAATAATCTTTTGGCTTTCTCTATTTCAATTCTTTCATGTTCTCTTCATAAAACATAAATCCAGATTAAATAGAATAATGCTGAATAGAAATTTATGCCCAACTTAAGTTAAAAAAAATCTAAAAACACACCCCTATATATAATCCATTCTAAAGGAAGTCTTGAGTCACACACGTTCTTCTCGAGTCCAATTCTGCCATTCTTTTTCAGCTTAGCTAGAGAATAGATGAGAGATTCAGGCAGAGTGTGCCTGTGTACTAGTAATTGTGGAAGAAGAAAGTGTTGTGACCTTTTCTTTCTCACCATAGTGGAAAAACAGAATGTAGTGTAAGATCTTTAGTCGAGGTCAGTGGGCATTACAGCAAACTACATCACCTTCTTGAGTTACATTCCTATTGGGAGTTGTTTTAGCTGTTCTGGTCGAATTCTTGCTCTAACAGGAGTAAAAGAATCTAAGAGAAAGGGACACACAGACTACTATCATTAAAGCAACAAAGAGTATAAAAAGGTTTTTCCACAGGGCAACAATGCACCGAAATAAACAGGCTTGAAACCACATGCCTGCATTCCATACCAAACATAACTATGTTTTCAAAGAAGCCCTGAACAGGAGATCATGAGCCAAATGACCAAGAAGTTGAATTGAGAGAATAGAGAAAGAAGCTATTCCGCAAGAGTATAATCTCATCTCTCAGTAACCCACATGTTTCACTCTGAGTCATCCCTGAGATGTCAGTGATACAGTGGCTCTCTACACATTCTCAACTAAGAAAGAAATACTTCAACTTGACTAGAAATTTCCAAAGTATGAGCTCCTAATATAAAAGAGACGAGGCTAAAGACAGTCATGTCGCTAATGAAGTGTACTGTGTTCCTCTTGCCACAGAAGATTCGCTAACTGAGAACCACCTCAATGGCTGTAGGAGACAGGAAATTTGACATAACGAGAACTCAAGGTAATGATTAGAAAGAAAATGATTAAAAGTATTTCAAATTTGATAGTCTATTCAAGTTGAACTCTAATTAGATTGTCTATATTTACAGTGTCTCAAAACATGAGATCACACAATGGTAAAATATATTTCTAAAAATTATCAATCAATCAATTAAAATGTGTCCCTAGGACCATGCTAAGTAAAAAATGCATGCAAAGCAGTCATTCATCTTTATTGTTTTTGCATCTGACCCCCAGAAAAGTTTTCTTCTGAATCTTGCCAGTTTCAACAATTTTTTTTTTCATGTCAATGAAGGTACAATGGATGTTTGTACCTGCAAATGGCCAATACACTACATCAAACTATGTACTGTCAAATTTCTCTAATTAAAAAGAATTGTCTTTGAAACACTCATCCTTGGCATAGCTAGGAAAGCTTGTCAACAAAACATGATTTGTAGGATACAGGGAGGGGGAGAGCAAGTTGGTTATCATCCATCTTTACTCAGGAAGCATCTAGAGGCAGTTTGCACCATTTGTCCAGTGGATAAGCAGTCAGATGCCCTGACTTCCTTGAATTATCTACCTAAGTTGAGAAGCTTCTTCCTAAAAAATACATAGATTGCCTTCTAAGCTCTTGTCACACGGAATTTTGATATGTGGAAGCATGAAATTATAGAGAATGACAGA